TTTTTTACAAGTTTCTCACATACACAGCTTCCACCTTTCAAGTTCCATCACTGTTTTTTCAGCCTATTTCTCCTCAATATCCTACCATTAATGAAGAAGGAATTAGCAGAGGACTATGATCCCTCTTCCATGACTCCTACATCGGGGTGATAAGTATCATTCACTAAACATCGAAGTATGCACTCGATTAATTGCCCCTTAATCACCAAAAGAAAACAGAATAATTAAGAAACAGAAATAGCTTGCATAGATACAATGTTAGCGACGCGACATAATAATAAAGACATATAACAATAAAGAAAACTTCCCAGGTAAAGTAACCGTATGAACAGTAACCAGTTCGAACATTGTATATAATAGTTCATTCAACTTATATTCAACAAATTCTTCAATAATCACAGCTTCATAAATCTAAGTTCTTCAAAAGGTTACAAAAATTAAGGGAATTCAAATGAGGATGGTAATGAGAGATCTCAGTTGGAGACCACACTTGCTTGCTTGCTGAGAGTTTCTTGAATAGTTTGTAGTATAGTTGACTGCCACGCTTCTCTACATTCATCCCATACCAGTTCCACCTGAAATATGGTTGAACTAACTAAGGATAACAAGCTAAATTATTTACAAAGAGTAGACTTTGGGATGCGCCATGCACTACAAGACGTGGATTGCAATTATGGGAAGATGGAATCACTTAGACGGTGTTCGAAACACGAAAGTATGGCAAGGACAGGCTTTGCTGTTTAATTCAATAAAGCATAAAATATAAGCATTCCGCCGTTGATCAATCCCGTTTTGGTATGCGCCATGCATTTTACTTCCATTTGTAATTCGTAGTGGCATTTGAATGCGATGTGGCCTATACAATGACTTGCGGGGCCAGCCGATGTACAAGTCAGTGTTTTTATCCTGCCATTACCCCGGTAGGATGAAAGGGATTAGCCAAGACAGCGCACCTTCTAGGATTTAATCCCAGGACCGTGCCATCGTGAGCAGCAGCACTTGCCACTACAGCACTTCTGCCTCGGTTTGGCCCTATGCGCCACGAATTATAACCTTCGAAAAGTTTTCCAATGCGTACACTCACAGACCGTTTGCAACGCCAGAAGATGGACAAGCCGTTTTTTTACCGCTTCACAAACGCTGGCATTGATTCTTGGCCTCAAAAATAGGCAAAATTCGGTCCACGATCGATCTGAACTTCGCAGCACTAAGCGCCGCAGACTGTGAAGCCACTTGTCACTGAGCTGGCTCAGATATACTTCGCAGCTAGTGATTCGCAAAGTCCATGCCGATCGGCAAAACGCCGCAAGTGCAGATATGCCCGGCAGTGTTTTAGATCACTCTTTGTTGTCGACCATTCTGTTCGATCATTCTTCCATGAACTGCAGTCTCCTAGTTTTTTTTTCACTACGCTTGCTCGGATGTGACTGCGTGAAAAACATCGGCAACTTCGAAGAAGAGCCAACAACGATGGCACACGGCAAAAACCGTTCGCATGCACTACGCGATGGCTACGTTTATGACCGATCAAATTCCATGCGATCGCAAGACTGATACGTCTTTTCCTACACTAGAACTGCAAGATGGTCGCAAAGTATGATTTGATCCTTGCCGTTCTTCGGCTCCTCATCACACATCAACATCTCATCAAGGAACTACTGCAGCAACTCGTTCTGTTCGAAGCCTTTTTCAGCGACTTCACAAGCTCACCTATTCTTGCTCATGTTTCACCACTTTAGAACACAAATCACCGATAAAAAAATTATATCTCTCCATCGCTTGCCTGATAATATCTTCCTTTCACTTGCCTGATTATCATCTCCTTTCACAGGTAGTACACATATTTCACCATGGAAAAAGCTCTATACCGTCCTGAAAAAGGATTCACTCTGTGAAGGGATCACTGTCTGAGGTTTACACTAGCGAATACAATCTAACCTGCTTATGTTGTAGATGCGTATCGTGAATAGATAACGCTTCAGAAAGAGCTCTCCAGTCAACGGCTGAACGAGATTTAACTAACTGCGACAGTGTTATAGTGTGCAAGCCGAGCTGTAACCTGCTGGCAGCTGCCTCGCAAGAGATCACCTCTAAGCCATTCTGCAATTCAGGAAAATGAGAATCAACTTTGGTTCACACAGGGTGCTTAATTTGGGCAAAACGCATTGCCGGGAGCTGGGACTCGAGCCTATGCCTTGTGCATTACAAATAGATGTGTCAGAACACCACTAAAAGCATTACTTTGCTATTAACCCAGCTTCCATACGTATACTATTGTAAGACGCAACTTGCACGAAAAGCAAAAAATTTGATTTCGAGTTCCGGCGGGGGCAGTTGCCCGTAGGATACACAACAAATCGAGACCAGAACTCAAATATTGATACTGAATGATAATATAATATTGATAATTGACCTGCTTATCCATGACCAAACACGCAGAGAAAGGGCAAGCCTTTTTTGACGGAGTGGGGTCGAGGTCCTAGACACCGTTGAACAATGTCTTGAGGAACATCAACTTCCAAGTTCGAGATTCCCGGAATGCTCACTGATTCACCATTTGCAGGCATTAACACCGGAACTCGGAACTCCTGAAAGAAAGAGGTGACTTTATGAAAAAACTCTACTTTTAAAGAAGACAATAACAGTGGAGAATGACGCCATTTCCAAACCTTTTCTACTTTTCCTTTGAGGAATTCCATCTTTGCCGCTTCGCCATGCACAAACATCACGCTGCGCGGCTGGCAGACTCTGATCAGCTGAAAATTTCGTTATTATGTGAAATTAATCATATTTTTTCTATAAATATAGAAATTTCAAATTTTTATTGTGAATCACTTTATTTCCCAAAATAACCACCTCACTACCAGTCAAAGTATTTGAGGCTCTTAACAAAACCACGCACTATTCCTGATGGTGGAACCCCAGGATATTGAGCCGTTAATCGCAGTCACAAAAAGATGGAACACCCATGCCTTGGCAGTCTTCATGCTCTTCACGTAACTGTCAATCAATTTAGACTTCGAAGAAACATCCTTTCTTCCGCTTACACCCTCTCAATCCATTCACATCATTGCATGGGCTTATCTCAGTTTAGCCGTATATCCGCTCAGGATGTTGTGGAACGATCACAAGTTGTATCTTTATTGAAGACGACTGACTTGGGCATCAACCGCCCGACTTTAATTTTTGGAGCAGATTTAGTCACAGACAAAACATTTTCCTTAATATTATCTAGTATGTTTTCCCGAAAAGATGACGAAGATTTCAATTTTGGTGATATTAGAATAAGATTCATCCCCATGAAATTTCGTAATTTGAAAAAGGCAACAATAGTCGATGACACAGGATAAAACTAATTTGCGAATCGAGCAATTCCCATTCTGGGGTCTAAAGGCCAGCGCAGCAAGCTCCTTGTCAGGCAGGAATAAGCCTTGTAGAAACCTTGGGTATTCAAATTTGGGAAGTTTCATGTGGTTCTAATGGCAGGACGCGAGCGCTTGATTTTTACCAGAATCGGTCATTTCGGGGTACAGTTTCGCTTGGCTTAAACAAAAAACCGAATCATTTGTCCACTGGCCTGATGATTAGACATAAGCCAAAATTCGCTTAAAACGCCTACACTACTTCAAAAAGCCGAAGGCGTTGCGCAGAGATTGATTCATAAGAATAATTCACGGTTTAGCACATTACTTATGGCGAGCGCTGCCACCCACGCACCAAACTGGCTTAACACGTTGACGACCGCGCTATTTTTCGCTGTCTGGCGTGTGGGACCGCGCGAGTGTGACATGGCATCATGTCAAACGGTCCCACGAGAACTCCTTTTTCTCAGGAAGTGTGTATTTGTTATCTTTCTTGTGTGGTAGGTCTCCGATTATGCGATTTTGGCCATTTTAGCGATTCCTGTGATTTGATCATTATTCAAACATTTTTAGAAAAACTCGATAGCCCATCAACCGAAGCTTCTTTCCAGGGACCACGCCTTTTGTAACAATGCCTAAGTATGGCGCATACATCACGTAAATAAGTTACCTAAAATGTTTGAAAACCAGCTTAAAAAAGACTGTGACATGACATCATGTCACACGGTCCCACGTGGCCGAAAGAGTGTGGTATGACATCATACCACACGGTCGTCAACGTGTGTTAAGAGCAACCTAATTAGGCAAAGCTCGCTACAATATACGTTTTGCAATGAGGTATGAGGTGACTGCCGGATTCGCGTGAGCACAGATAGCATACATTATACGAAGTTAAAAGTAATGGAATGTGTAACCTGCATGATTCCTTTGGCATCGGCGTGAGCGCTGAACGACATATACTCAACAGCCAGATTAATATCATGCTGTAAACCAACTGCGGGTGAATTACAACTTAGCATTTGAAAAAGTATCAAAGTATATGAGAGCAGAACCAGTTTCCAGTAACCCACCATTTTACCTTCAATTTCAATCTTCTTCATACCACTTATTACTTTCGCGCCAACAGTTCCAGCAACACAGTAACCTGTAAGTTACAGTTTTCCAAAAAATACCAAAAAAGTTCAACGAAAGAGGTCTCTCACCAGGCATAATGATCATGTTTCTTGGATCATGGCACCATTTCCGGAAAACTTTCAAGGACTGACCACCGTGTAAGCATTCCTGAGGGATACGTGTAAGTCTTGCAGGCTCCAATCCAAGAGGAAAAAAAACCTTACCTGGGGTTGAAAATAACACCATGGCGCCAGGCATTTCCTCATACCCCTTATCAAGAGGCTTGATGTGTTTGAAATCGAACATATTTCTTTCGACAAAAGTACGCTTGATCTTTTCATTGGTCCAATTGATGAACAATCGGTAATACTGTAAGATGGAGGTTTCAGATCTCATCAGTTGGAAAATGAAACTAACACTAACTGCACATTCGAGAGGTACCACCCAAAGTTCACAAGATGTATCTACCTGATTTGCTCGTTCTGCTAGTCCTTGAGAAAAATAAATCGGTATTTTCAAATCCATTCGTTCCCAGTACGACTCGAGAAGAATACACAACTCTTGAGCTCTACCCAACGCAAAAACCGGAATCGTAATAACTTACAACGACAATTTGGGAGGGACATTTATCAACGGCATGACCACAGGATGATCGGCAAAGAGGATAGGTGTAAATAGGTGAAATATTGGAGTAAGGGTAAAACTCCAACCTTTCGTCCGCATACTCGATCGTGACCTTTCTCAGGAAATCTCTTTCACGTGCCCGCTTCGAATCACGGAGTGTTGTGGCATAGGTGGATTCAGAAATGAGGCAGTCGGGTCGAAGACCAGGCAGCACTCGAGCTGCGCCCAAATGCCGATCAGGTGTCATATTATAATCACCTGCAGACAACCAGTGCATGTATCTGGCAACAAACCGCGTAGTGGCAGATTCGTTACCTGTGATTACAGTATGCTATTGATGTTCCAACACGGATTTCACATGCGGCTTCGCCAAGCACTTATTGACAGGATTAAAAGACTAATCGCGAAGTCGGGCTGTCGACTGTGCACCGGTGCTCATGGAGATCCACCGCTATTACCTGGAACATTTGCGCTTAAGAAACCCATAAGCAAGAGTTAAAATGAGTTTTTGAAGAGAATGGTCAGAGATATAGCAACCAAATTTTTCACATACTCTTCTTGAGCACGAAGCAAACCCTATAAGGAAAACAAATCGAACTGCGTAACTAGATAAGACCAACCTTCTTCATACATGCTTTGATATTGGCTGAAGTGAAAAAATTCGTGTCTCCTCGAAACTCCGTCTGTACTTTCCGATAATCTTCCTAGACAACAATCAACCATACAAAAATTGAACTCTAGCAAAAATACTTAAATAATAAGAAAAAACTGTTTAGAGTGTGGAAGAAGTGTTTTTGCCAGACCAGCTCCCGGAACCATTCACTAGTGCCCGCTTGAGATTTCCCCATTCAAAAGCCTCTAAGAGCAGGTTGATAGGGAACTTGTGCAAAAACCTATGGCCGGGCCAATGGAGTAAGCAGAGGCGAGATCAAAAGAATCCTAATTTACTCGCCACCTCAACCATGGCTGGATGCCCCTTCAAAAATCAATTTTCCAACCTAAAATTGCTTATCGTTTACCAATAACTTTGAAAACGGAACAATGCCGTCTTCCGTTTTTCTTTCCTCTCTCGCTTTGTCTCTATATGGATCAGTCAGTCGACTTTTCACTGCACCGCATATAAGCAAGAAAACCAGGGAAGCTTCCCCTTCACACGTGAAACGATGCTGATAAACTCACTAAAAGCACTGGTGCAATGGCCTTTGTTGGATATGTCATGTAGATGGGACCATCAAATCCAACAATTTCACTCATATGAGGTAGTGATCCACAATGATCCAGGTGGAAATGAGATATGATCACGCAGGTCAGATAATCGTTAAGCTTCCCTCCTCCTCCGATATACCTGAAAGAAGCTGAAATAAAAGGGGATTATGGAAGCAAAAAATTGTCCACGACCCACGAGAAGTCTGGAAACCGCCGTTCGTCCTGATATCCCATATGCATTCCGCAATCAAGCATCACGTTCTTCCCACCGATGGTCACGAGAATGCATGAGCGGCCAACGTCTTGCCCGGCTCCAAGAGGGACAATCTGAACAAATCACTTTCGCTCTGGTCACATTCCAACGGAGCAAAAAACCGTCGCCAAATAAGATTGCAGTCTTAGTAGGAAAGCTTAGAAAGAAAATCTCCCAAAATATCTCCTTCACTTACCTTTATGTCCGCCATTTTTCACACGACTCCTACATCGATCATCCGATCTCACTGATTGAACAAAGTCAAGGAAACCTGCGTACCACAATGTCT